GAGGAGGAAAACGAGCAGGGGGAGGAGGGGGGAAGGAGGGGGAGGAGGAGGAGGAGGAGAAGGAGGACGCAGGCGAGGGCGAGGGCGAGGAGGATGAGGGGGAGGCAGAAGAGGAGGAGGAGGAGGAGGAGAAGGATGAGGAGAAGCAGGAACAAGATGAGGATGTGCGTCCTCGTCCCTTCTCCTCCTCCTCCTCCTCCTCCTCCTCCTCCTCCTTCTTCTCCTGCGTACTCATCCTCATCCTCTGCCTTATCCTCCTCCTCTTGTTCTCGCCCTCCTTCTCCTCCCTCCCCTCCTCCTCCTCCTCCAGCAACGTGTTCATCCTCGTCTGTCGTTTACCGATCCTCCTGCCTCTCTGTTACTCATCCTATGTTGTTTCTCTTCCATTGCTTGGCCTCTCCTTTGCGCCGCCGTGCAGCTCCCTGTCTCATGTCGCCTGCCGTGGGGCCCTTTTTTATAGCCAGGTTTTTTTCTTTCGAACGATGAAGTTCGTTCCACAGCGAGCCCCCGCGGCGGGCGTGGACGTCCACTCCTTGGGCAAGGGCTTGATCGAGTACACTGGCCAGGTCGGTGTCCGACAGGCCTCGTCGTCCTGTTCCTCCCACTTCTCCTCGTGTTCCTCCTCCTCCTCCTCCGCATCATCCTGCCCATTCTTATGCTGTTAGCTTTCTCAGTTTCCTCCTCCTGCTCATCCTCCTCCCCTACCTCCTCATCCCCCTCCTCCCTCCTCCTCCCCCACCCTCCCCCTCATCCTTCTCATCCTGCCCCTTCGTTATTGCGAAGTCGGTTTGCGACGCTTTCTCAAGCGAAAGTTAGTGTGATAAGTTTTCGAAAGTCAGATTGCGAATGTGCCTTGAGCGAAAATTTCTAGCGCCAGACTGCGAAGATTTCTCAAGCGAGAGTCAGATTGCCAGTCGGGGCCGGAAATGAGATTGCGAAGATCTCTCAAGCGAAACCCTCGACTAGTGCAAGTGTGTGTGTGTGTGTGTGTGTGTGTGTGTGTGTGTGTGTGTGTGTGTGTGTGTGTGTTTTTTTGTGTGTTGTGTGTGTGTGTGTGTGTGGTGTGTGTGGCGTGTGTGTGTGTGTGTGTGTGTGTGAGGTGTGGTGGTGTGGGGGTGGGGGGGGTGGGGGGGGTCTAACGCCCGCGCCCCGTGGTGTTCGCCCGTCGCCGGGCTTTCCTGCTCGGACGTTGACGGGCGCTGGGCCGCAACGGGGCGGTCCGCGCCCCGGGCCTCGTGCGCTGTTCCGACTTGGTGCCGCGGGGGTCGCGACTGCGCGAGAAGCGGGGGTGGGGGGGGTGGGGTGGGGTGGGGTGGGGGGTGGGGGTGGGGGGGGGGTGGGGGTGCGTGTGCGTGTGCGTGTGCGTGTGTGTGTGTGTGTGTGGGGGGCATGACTAGAGATGCTCCCTCTTCCCTCCCCCCTCATCCCTCTCCCCTCCTCCCGCCTCCCTCATACCTCCCCTTCCTATCCCTCCGCCCCCTCCTCTTCCACCTCTCCCCCCCTGGGGGAGGATGGGGGGGGGGGGGGGGGTAGTGGTGGAAGGTGGCGATGATGGTGACGAGGGCGCCGATGACGAGGACGCATGCGACGACGATGGCGACGGTGATGGCGCGGGTGGTCGGGCCCAGGACAGAAGGGCCCAGGGTCTGATGAGAACCCGAAAACTTGGATATGATGTAACCTATGTGGTGCACGTTGGTGGTGATAGTGGTGGTGGCGCGCCCCCTCGCGCATCAATTGCCTCCGTGCACTTCCCTGTATGCCGCGATGGATTCGCCCTCGCTCTCGATGGGCTCATACCTCTCGCCCTTCGCCCCTTCGAAACTTCACCTGACTGTCCTATCGCGCAGCTCGTCGCCCATCGCCGCGGTCGTCCAACTCGCGAGGCCGCCCCTGCATGCTGTCCTCCAGCATTTGAGGCGGAACTTCTTGGGGCCCTTGGTGTGTTGGACGACCATGCGCGATGTGCCAAGAGGAGCGCGATCCCCTCGGCGCGGCGCGCCAAAACTGGAACGATACACGCATGACAGCGTCACCAACGTGAGCATCGTAATCCTGTTGTGAAATGTATGTGGCCATCTAGGGCCAAGCCGCTTGCACCGCTAGCGAGGCTCATTGAGCCAAAGTGCTTGATTGCTGGCTTCTCGAAACTCATGCTCCATCTCTCCCGGTTCCCCCTGTTCACAACTCATCGTCTTTGGTGTGCCCCCCCGCGCCCCGACCCCTCAGTCACCCTGTCTCATGGCCCTCCCCACCGTTGTCGGCCCATGTGAATCTCACGTTGGGCCTCGCGTGGGCCTCGCGTGAGATACAGGAGTTCGGTGTCACTGCGTGAACCTCGCGTGGGTCTCGCGCGGGCATCGCGTGAGATGCCGAGCCCCGCGCGAGTCTGACGTGAAGTGCATCGCTGTCCCAACGCCTCGCAGGTAAACGTGCTGGCGCACCGCTGTCCCGAGTTGGAGCGCAGGGGCTCCGGCATGAAAGAGGCCGCACAGATGGTGCTGGACAGGCGCGTCGGGAGAGGATGAGGGCGAGGAGGGGGGAGGGTGAGGGGGAGCTGGATGAGGAGACAGTTGAGACAGAGGAGGACGAAGAAGACGAGGGGGAAGAGGATGCTGACGGGGTAGCGCGGAGGAAGATGAGGAGGCGGCGATCACGTGGAGACAGCGAGGAGGATGAGGAGGAATCGGGGAGGAGGGACCGAGGAGGAGGAGGAGGGTGGTGAGTAGGACTCATCCACCGCCTCCTCATGATTCTCATCCCCCTGCCATGTTCCAATCCTCCGCCGCGACCTCACCCACCACCTCGCCCCCTCTGCCATGTGCCGCCTCCTCCTCCACCGCCTCCTCATTCTCCTCATGAGTCTCTTCGTCATCTCCCTCATCCTCGTCTTCCTCATCCTCCCCCCCCCCCCCCATCGCCCCTCCGCCTCGACCCCCTTCCCCGCCGCGTCCTCATCGCCGCCTCTCGCCGAGGAACCCTGGCGCGCACAAGGGTCGCGCGAACGTGCCCGTCGCCGACCGCGCGGGCGCGCTGTCGGAGAAGTGCAAGGTCCTCCTCGCGCGCCTTCGGCGCCTGCGAGGTTCTCCGACCAGGCGCCGACAGACCCTTCGGCGACGACGGCGGGATATGATCGACAGGGGAAGCTATCACTCAGGGAGGTCAGGAGGGATGTGTGAATAAGGCGAGGACGAGGGGGGGGGAGGAGGGAAGGGGGGGGGGCGAGGAGGAGGAGGGGGATGAGGTGGAGGATCGGGGAGAGGGAGGGGGGTGGGGATGAGGAGGAGGAGGAGGAGGAGGATGAGGAGGAGGAGAGGGAACGCGATTTGGTGCAAGGAGTGAACAGTTCGGAGCGGAAGTGGGGGTGGCGATGTCGAGCATTGGTGAAGGTTTTGGCGATGGGGGCTGGGGGAGGGCGCCATAGGGCTCTTGCGAAGCGTGGTCAGCAGGGGCGGAGGCCGTATTAAAGAATAGAGGGGGTGATGATGATGGTGATGATGGTGATGCTGATGATGATGGTGATCGTGGTGGTGATGGAGATCGTGATGTTGAGTGCGATGATGACGATGGTGCTGATGATGATGATGGTGGTGGTGATGATGATGATGATGCGCAGGGGAATAACTGGGATGGGGGAGGGGGGGGATGAACTCAACTCGCATTCAGCCGGGCGTTCGGTCAGTGCTCGCGGATCCAGGCCTTGAAGCTGCAGGAGATCGTGTGGTCGCTGGGAGTCGACGCGCACGACGGGGACCAGCAGCGCGACTACGGCCGCGACGCCAGCTATGGCGAGGGCAGCCAGCAGCACTACTACGGCCGCAGCACCCGCGTTGAGGAGGGCAGCCAGCAGCACTACTACGGCCACGACGCCAGCTACGACGAGGGAAGCCAGCAGCGCTAGTACGGCCGCAGCACCAGCTATGACGCGGGTCAACATCAGCACTACTACGGCCGCGACAGCTATGACGAGGACGATCAGCAACACTACTACGGCCGCGACAGCTATGACGAGGGCGATCCGCCGCGCTACTACAACGGCCGCGACCGCAGCTATGACGAGGGCCATCAGCAGCAGCGCCGCGGTGACGATCACGAGGGCGAGGATTACGTCGACATGACGGAGACATTGCCGCCCCCCCCCCCCCCCCCCCCCCCCCCCCCCCCCTCCCCAGCGAGCAGCAGCGCGCGACGATGGATGATCCAAGGAAACAGAAATCAAGATGGAAGGGGAGATGGAGGATGGGGTGGCATGAGGGTATACGGTAGAGGTCGGATTGGGATAGGGGGGTTGGGCGGAGGGTGGCCGTCGTTAGGGGGCGTGGTCGATGAGTCGAGGGTGTCGCGTTCGAGGCAACCCATGGCCCCTCGTTCCTGTCTCCTTCTCCTCCTATTGCGCCCCCCCCCCCTCGTGCCCCGCCTCTTCCTTCTCATCTTCCTCCTCCTCCTCTCTCTCATTCCCTCCCTGGTCATCCACGTCCTCCGTTGCGTCCTCCTCTCCCTTCTTGCAATGCATTTCCTTTTTTTTTCAGCTCGGCGGCGGTGCGATCCGTTCAGGTGCATTCTTGCGCAGCTCGGCGGCGGCGTTTCAGCTCGGCGGCAGCGCGCCCCCCCTTCTGACGCACGTCTTGAACCGCGATGTTTTATAACGCGGCCCCTCTCCCCCCTCATCGCCCTCACCTCCCGTCCTCAATCCCCTCGCCCTCCTCCTCATGCTCCGCGTCCTCCTCCTCCTCCTCCGTGTCCGCCTCCTCCTCCTCGTCCTCCTCATCCTCCTCCTCCTCTTCTTCCTCCTCAACATCCCCCCCATCCTCCTCCGTGCGTCGGCGTCCCATCTACAAATCCGACCTCGCAGTGCCCCTTTGATTCCCTTCGCCCCCCTGCCTGCCGATCCTCCACCTCCACCCCCGCAGCCATTTTAGCTTCGCGTCATTGCCGGGTGTTTCGCCATTTTTGCATCGTATCCCTGCGTGGATGCCATCGCGATGGTGCGATCGTTGAAGGAGACGTTCGTGGCGTCGCGTTGGGCGGAGCTCCAGCGCTCGCCCAACCGCAAGCTGTGCCAGGTGTTCCAGCGACTCGTTCACCTCCTGAGTTGCGTGCGCAACGAGGCCGAGGGGCGGCGGGGCCTCCATTGTCTCCAACTCTTCGGCGCCGCGAATGGCGGCCACCAGGTGGTGCACAAGCTGTGCGACATCGGGCTGGGGGCATTCGCGTTCGGCGAAATGTCGCCGACGAGCCAGGTGCGTTTCCGCGAGGGCATGCGGTTGGTGTTTCGGCGGGCCATGCACCTTCTCCCTCGTGGTGCGCTCTGGGTGACGATGAATGGCGCGACGTGGTCAGTTCATCGTCGCTCGGACACGGGCCGCGTGGACAGGTATCCCAGGGGCAGCGAGGACATCAAGTCGGTGTTCCAGGCCAACGCGACGGCCACGCACGTGTCGATCATCGCCTTGCTGTGCTGGTTGCGGGGCTCCGAGGTGTGCATCTGCATCCAGCCGGGCACGCTGTTTTGGAAGTTCGATCCCATTGATCAGCTGACTCAGGTCGCGTGTCCCTTCAAGTTTACGGCATTCGGTGGTGGTGATAACAATCCGATGCGCCGCAGGCCAACAGAGTGCGCGGTGAACCACCATTTCTACGGGCGCTTGCGGGCGAGACCACCCCTGCATGCTGTCCTCCAGCATTTGAGGCGGAACTTCTTGGGGCCCTTGGCGTGTTGGACGACCATGCGCGATGGGCCAAGAGGAGCGCGACCCCCTCGGCGCAGCGCGCCAAAACTGGAACGATACACGCATGACAGCGTCACCAACGTGAGCATCGTAATCCTGTTGTGAAATGTATGTGGCCATGTAGGGCCAAGCCGCTTGCACCGCTAGCGAGGCTCATCGAGCCAAAGTGCTTGATTGCTTCCTTCTCGAAACTCATGCTCCATATCTCCCGGTTCTCCCTGTTCACAACTCATCGTCTTTGGTGTGCCTCCCCGCGCCCCGATCCCTCAGTCACGCTGTCTCGTGGCCCTCCCCGCCGTTGTCGGCCCATGTGAATCTCACGTTGGGCCTCGCGTGGGCCTCGCGTGAGATGCAGGAGTTCGGTGTCACTGCGTGAACCTCGCGTGGGTCTCGCGCGGGCATCGCGTGAGATGCCGAGCCCCACGCGAGTCTCACGTGAAGCGCATCGCTGTCCCAACGCCTCGCATGTGAACGTGCTGGCGCACCGCTGTCCCGAGTTGGAGTGCAGGGGCTCCGACATGAAAGAGGCCGCACATATGGTGCTGGACAGGCGCGTCGGGAGAGGATGAGGGTGAGGAGGAGGGGGGTGAGGGGGAGCTGGATGAGGAGACAGTTGAGACAGAGGAGGACGAGGAGGACGAGGAGGAAGAGGATGCTGACGAGGTCGCGCGGAGGAGGATGAGGAGGCGGCGAGCACGTGGAGACAGCGAGGAGGATGGGGGGGGATCGGGGAGGAGGAACCGAGGAGGAGGAGGGGGGTGGTGAGTAGGACTCATCCACCGCCTCCTCATTATTCTCATCCCCCTGCCATGTTCCAATCCTCCGCCACGACCTCATCCACCGCCTCGCCCCCCCTGCCATGTGCCGCCTCCTCCTCAACCGCCTCTTCATTCTCCTCATGGGTCTCTTCGTCATCTCCCTCATCCTCGTCTTCCTCATCCCCCCCCCCCCCCCCCCATCGCCCCCCCGCCTCGACCCCCTTCCCCGCCGCGTCCTCGTCGCCGCCTCTCACCGAGGAACCCTGGCGCGCACAAGGGGCGCGCGAACGTGCCCGTCGCCGACCGCGCGGGCGCGCTGTCGGAGAAGTGCATGGCCCTCCTCGCGCGCCTTCGGCGCCTGCGAGATTCTCCGGCCAGGCGCCGACAGACCCTTCGGCGACGACGGCGGGATATGATCGACAGGGGGAGCTATTACTCAGGGAGGTCAGGAGGGATGGATGAATAAGGCGAGGACGAGGGGGGGGAGGAGGAGAGGGGGAGGGCGAGGAGGAGGAGGGGGATGAGGTGGAGGATCGGGGAGAGGGAGGGGGGTGGGGATGAGGAGGAGGAGGAGGAGGAGGATGAGGAGGAGGAGGAGGAGGAGGGAACGCGATTTGGTGCAAGGAGTGAACAGTTCGGAGCGGAAGTGGGGATGGCGATGTCGAGCATTGGTGAGGGTTTTGGCGATGGGGACTGGGGGGGGGGGGGGGGGGCGCCATGGGGCCCTTGCGAAGCGTGGTCAGCAGGGGCGGAGGCCGTATTAAAGAATAGAGGGGGTGATTGTGATGGTGATGATGGTGATGCTGATGATGATGGTGATCGTGGTGGTGATGGAGATCATGATGTTGAATATGATGATGACGATGGTGCTGCTGATGATGATGATGGTGGAGGTGATGATGATGATGATGATGCGCAGGGAAATAACTGGGAGGGGAAGGGGGGGGATGAGCTCAACTCGCACTCAGCCAGGCGTTCGGTCAGTGCTCGCGGATCCAGGCCTTGAAGCTGCAGGAGATCGTGTGGTCGCTGGGAGTCGACGCGCACGACGGGGGCCAGCAGCGCGACTACGGCCGCGACGCCAGCTATGGCGAGGGCAGCCAGCAGCACTACTACGGCCGCAGCACCAGCGTTGACGAGGGCAGCCAGCAGCACCACTACGGCCACGACGCCAGCTATGACGAGGGCAGCCAGCAGCGCTACTACGGCCGCAGCACCAGCTAGGAGGCGGGTCAACATCAGCACTATTACGGCCGCGACAGCTATGACGAGGGCGATCAGCAACACCACTACGGCCGCGACAGCTATGACGAGGGCGATCCGCCGCGCTACTACAACGGCCGCGACAGCAGCTACGACGAGGGCCATCAGCAGCAGCGCCGCGGTGACGATCACGAGGGCGAGGATTACGTCGACATGGCGGAGACATTGCCGCCCCCCCCCCCCCCCTTCCCCAGCGAGCAGCAGCGCGCGACGATGGATGATCCAAGGAAACAGACATCAAGATGGAGGGGGGATGGAGGATGGAAAGGGGTGGCATGAGGGTATACGGTAGAGGGCGGATTGGGATAGGGAGGTTGGGCGAAGGGTGGCCGTCGTTAGGGGGCGTGGTCGATGAGTCGAGGGTGCCGCGTTCGAGGCAACCCATGGCCCCTCGTTCCTGTCTCCTTCTCCTCCTATTGCGCCCCCCCCCTCCCTTCGTGCCCCGCCTCTTCCTTCTCATCTTCCTCCTCCTCCTCTCTCTCATTCCCTCCCTGGTCATCCACGTCCTCCTTTGCGTCCTCCTCTCCCTTCTTGCCATGCATTTCCTTTTTCAGCTCGGCGGCGGTGCGATCCGTTCAGCTCGGCGGCGGTGCATTCTTGTTCAGCCCGGCGGCGGCGTTTCAGCTCGGCGGCAGCGCGCTCCCCCTCCGGACGCACGTCTTGAACCGCGATGTTTTATAACGCGGCCCCTCTCCCCCCTCGCCCCCCTCACCCCCCGTCCTCAATCCCCTCGCCCTCCTCCTCCTCATGCTCCGCATCCTCCTCCTCCTCCGTGTCCGCCTCCTCCTCCTCGTCCTCCTCATCCTCCTCCTCTTCTTCCTCCTCAACATCCTCCCCATCCTTTTCCGTGCGTCGGCGTCCCATCTACAAATCCGACCTCGCAGTGCCCCTTTGATTCCCTTCGCCCCCCTGCCTGCCGATCCTCCACCTCCACCCCCGCAGCCATTTTGGCTTCGCGTCATTGCCGGGTCTTTCGCCATTTTGGCATCGCATCCCAGCAGGGACTCCATCGCGATGGTGTGATCGTTGAAGGAGACGTTCGTGGCATCGCGTTGGGCGGAGCTCCAGCGCTCGCCCAACCACGAGCTGTGCCAGGTGTTCCAACGACTCGTTCACCTCCTGAGTTGCGTGCACATCGAGGCCGAGGGGCGGCGGGACCTCCGTTGTCTCCAACTTTTCGGCGCCAGGAATGGCGGCCACCAGGTGGTGCACAAGCTGTGCGACATCGGGCTGGGGGCATTCGCGTTCGGCGAAATATCGCCGACGAGCCAGGTGCGTTTCCGCGAGGGCATGCGGTTGGTGTTTCAGTGGGCCATGCGCCTTCTCCCTCGTGGCGCGCTCTGGGTGACGATGAATGGCGCGACGTGGTCAGTTCATCATAGCTCGGGCACGGGCCGCGTGGACAGCGAGGACATCGAGTCGGTGTTCCAGGCCAACGCGACGGCCACGCACGTGTCGATCATCGCCTTGCTGTGCTGGTTGCGGGGCTCCGAGGTGTGCATCTGCATCCAGCCAGGCACGCTGTTTTGGAAGGTCGATCCGATTGATCAGCTGACTCAGGTCGCGTGTCCCTTCAAGTTTACGGCATTCGGTGGTGGTGATAACAACCCGATGCACCGCGAGCCAACGGAGTGTGCGGTGAGCCACCATTTCTACGGGCGCTTGCTTCAGGACGTGGCGTTGCAACTCCCCCCCCTCCCCCTCCCATTCCTCGCCCCTCCAACCTATCTGCTCTGTCCTGCCCCTCCTCCTCGCCGAGGCCTCCCCCTCCACCGCCCCCCCTCCTTCCCGTCCTCCCTGCTCGTCGTCGCTGCGCCGGCGAGGATCCGCGCGACCTCCCGTCGGACAGCAGTTCTGAGTTTGAGCGCGGCAGGACGTTCTCGAATACGCTTCTCGATGGGTTCGCTCGCATCGTCAAGCAGATTTTTGTCCGGCGCGCCCCTGAGACCGTCGATGGCTTTTTCGGGCGCACCGCGGGCCCAGTCAGCGGGACGCGGGTTGCCTTTTGGAACTGTGGGTTAGGGTCGGCCGGTCATCGTCCTTATATTTCCCATCTCAACCTCACCTCTCCCCATTTTCATCATTACGTCTGCCATTTCTCCTCCTCCTCCTCCTCCTCCTCCAGCTCCTCCTCCTCCTCCTAATACTTGTGCGGGTTCTGTTCTCAGGGGTCGTGCTCGACCCTCCAGGGAACTCCGCCGCCAGGGGCATTCCCTCTCCTTGAGCAAACCTCCAGGCACCGAAGGGGCGCCGCCCCCAAGGATCGCAACCCGCGGATCCACGAGGTGACCCAGAGGAGTGAGCCCCAGGCCCCGACGGGGCCTGCCACGTCGGCTCCCACGTTCGATGCAGAGTCGACGGCGGCCCTTTCCGAGCACGTGTGGCGAGTCGAATGCTGGCGACCCTGGCACTGGGGGCGCGACGCCCACGCCGAAACGCAGGAGGCTCTCGGTCAAGACCCCCGACACGCTTGGCTATGCTTCGAAGTTTAGCACGCAGGCGGCAGCGAGGATCTTTGGGGGCCCTGGTTCATCCGCGGTTGAGGTGACCCCGCCAGCGCGTGCGTTGACCCGCAGCGACGCGGGCTCGACTGCAGTGGGTGATGGCCTCGTAGATACGGAGTTGGCTGACATGGCCAAGTGGTTTGTGCTCGGCTAAGTTAGGTTGGCTTCAATTCGACTGAGGAGGATGAGGGAACGCGAAGAAGGGAATTGTGGCCATCAGGATTGGAGGTTGGCGGGTGAGGAGGATGCGAGGACGAACCTACTGAAGGGGGCGACGGATAAGATGGGG